ACAATGAGAGGGAAGGTAGAGAACTTAGAGATATCAGCAAAATTTTCTAGTTTTTCAACCATCCTTGCCTATATAAAGTCATTATTGATCATGGTGATATGTTGTCAAGGGACAGAGCTCAGTCCAATATAAAAATTTGAAGAGTGTGAGGAAGATCATACAAATGTGTGGTGATGTGGAGTGATACCAACCAGCAGCAAGACAACCAGGTTATCAAATAAGTGCAACAACAAAAAGGTTTTGCAAACATTAGTATCACATGTCCTGGAAGAGGCAAGATGGCATGCATTAAAATTAAAATTCAACACAGAATCTAGTGCCAACATGTCACCATTATGCATCTTGAAAGGCATGTACCTCTTCAAAAGAAGATCCATGGCTTGGTTACAAGAAATTGTCTCATAGTTTATAATGATCACTAGTTCTACATATTGGCAGAATCACACTGTAAGCCAATATGAAAGCTCATCTTGGCTTCCCAAAATCTCCTACTGATGGTCCAGCAGTGGCAGGCCGAGCAGTAAGCACAAATCTCAGTATGAGCAAAATTCATGAGATTCAAAACACACTCACTGTGATGAAACAGAGCACACTGCTCCCAATTGATTCAGCTGCATTTGATTCAATTACATTTGAAGTCATTCTCAAAGCTTCCAATCACCTTATACCATCAATATATGTGTGGTTAATAATATGAAAACCTTGAATATCTTTTGAAATTTGCCTTTTGCTTGGTTGAATCTTATAGATTTGTATGTGTACCTGCTTTAACACTTTCCTTGCTGCCAGCGCTGTCTTGTTGTACCATTGTGTTGATCCTATTGCACCTGTTACAGATCTTCGTGGTTTGCTGAATGGAATGGATTATATCTAAAACATGTAATTGTTGTTGTCCTGCCACTGTAGTATCATGCTTATATCTATCCACAACTAATGCATTAATAGTATTGCTCATTTTCTTAAGCAGATGATCCTTTTTGAAGGTTTTAATTGTTATAGAGCTGACAACTAATCTGATGAGTGTCTCTAAGAATGCTTCCTCAGAAAAATCACACCCATGTGCTTTGCTGTAATATCTTAAGACAAGTCAGTCCATGGACACTTAGAGATGCTGCCTGGATGACGAGTTGGTGTCTGTTAATTCTGAAGTTAATTCTTAACTTAAGATGACCTTCAAGTACATTTCAGATCTTTTCTACATCTTTCTGATCATTCATGGAAAGACCAGATGTATCAATTCCACAAAGACTGTCCTTGCCATGATTTTGACAGCTCTCTGTTGCAATTCTGTAAAGTTATCATTGGATGCCCAATCCAAAATTAAGTGTCTGCCTACCATTTCTCACTGGAAGATTTTGATTTTTGTTTCTAGGAAGAAGATTGCAATGTTTGCAGCTGTGCTATGAGGAGCATTTGACTGCTGTTTGTTATTTTTAAAATTGACATTGCAGGCATTTGTGTATTTTTAAAAGGGACAGGTTTTCTAACTTGAACTGTGTCTTCTGTCTGGTCAATGTCTATCTACAGGCTGATTTTCTGAATCCTTAGCAACTAGTGATAGGATACGTTGATAGACAAGGTTACAGAGACTCTGAGGTAGAGCAGAGTCCAACCATACACGTTTGAGATCCCAGGTTGCTCTGCCCATAACTCCATATAACATCTTCATAGTGGATGGTGCTTATGGTACTCCTCACTATTAACCCTTTCAGACCCATATACACATTGAATAGTATGTTACAAAGAGCTAGACATATTGAGCATTGTTTAATGGAGGTGGATTCCATGTGCCAAACCTTGTATCGCTAAGGATAAACTGTGTGTACTAAATAGCATAGGGAGCTGTGTATATTCAACGCTATTATACTGAGAGAACTGTGTGCTCAACAATGTGTTACACAGGCAGAGCTGAGTTTAAAGAAGTGTATTGTACAGTGAGATGTGAGGAGTCACATCATCTGTTGATGAATTGGAGATTTTGGACAAGTTTATTTGCTTGGTGAGAATGGTTGTAAAACAGAAAATTGGAAGTAAAGAAAGCAAAAATACTGTTTTTGGGAAAGGGTGGCATGTTCTATTTGGGCTTGTTTTAACAGAACTTCCAGCATCAGGTGGCAATGTTGATGGTGGACACTAATAGAATGGGTGGAGCTATTCTATTGGGTATCAGGACCTCCCACAACAGCTGGAGACAGTGTGGGAAGGCACAAAGCCGGGCATACTTGGGCAGTCCTGTAAAAGAACTACGAGCACCAGATGAGAGAAAGCACCAAGCAGGATAGCCAGAGCAGTGGAATGGACCGTCCCTGGAGGAAAGAGTATATTTGCAGGAACGAAGGAGAAGGAGGATCAGACAGATGATTTCCTCACCCATAGATGTAATTCCACATAAATTCCATATTAATAACCTTAATTTTTCTTCATGCTTGTGAATGCTAGTGGAATTTAAAAAAAAATCCCTGCTTCATGATCTTTGAGCCTTCTGTGTGTCTAAATCTGGTGTAGTTGGCAGGACTCCACAACACAGGCGTCAAGTCACTGCAGATGAGTTTAAAGATGGTTGGTTGAGATTGAATACATGGTGAAGGGGTTGAAACTGTCAATATCCATGTTGGAAGGTGAATCTGCTCTGCTATTGTTAGACGCTCAGGCATTAGCAGAGGAAATTGGATCTTCAGGTTATACTCATGGAAGAGGCTCCCACATAGCTTCCTTGATGCTGCAGACAAAGGGAGTGGTATTCCTGGTTTGGTATTCTACTTGCTGATGAGCGAGCTGCTGAACAAATTCAGGCCACAGACCTGATGACCCAGCGAGTGAAGGCTGCATTGAGGGCACAGCCAGGGGCCTCACGTGAGTGGTATTCATGATGGAACATTTATGAGGAGAAGCCCATTCAAAGATACTAAGAAGAGGTACAGATGTTCAAAGAAATTTGCAATGGATCTTTGAGGTTCTGACAAGGGTTTTTGGGAGTCAGCAATTGTCTGACATAACCACAGCACAGCAAGCTCAAGGGGAGGACATGGCTGCCATAACCCTGGAGTTTTTTTTAACTACATTGTCATCATAGATCCCGCCTTCAATCAACAGATCGACAGATGAAGGGTTGGCTAATGGAAGCAGTAAGAGGTAGGGATCTCTAAATGGAACTGAGAAGTCTTAATCGTGATCAAACTCAATTGTCTTTCTTTGACATGCAGTATCACAATCATACAGATCATGTGAAGGGTTTGACCCCTACAACCAGGAAAGAGGCTAAGTTGCTGTCCTACCTTCATGGTAAGCCTCAGGTTCAGAGGCATTCTGATTGGTGCGGAGTTTAAAGTGTTTCCAGATAACAACTCGCTCAGCTACTTTCAAGCTGGGAGCAACAGAGACCGAATGGATCTCTGAACATGTGCAGTTTTGATTGCAGATCAGACAAAATTAGCGCAAATACTTATGCCCTTTGTTAAAAGACTTCCCAGTTGAGGAGCTGTGGCTTACACTATGCCCATGTCCCAAGTCATAGGCAGCATTCCAATCCTGATTCCTTACGACATTTGTGCTAAGATTCACCAATAATCTTACAAGCAAGATCCAGACAAGGTGCAAATAGTTAGAGCCAACTGTGGTCTCTCCTTTGCCATCTAACTTGAGAAAGGGTTAGATGCACGGTTTCCGACATGGACATCAATAGACTATACCTTTACTGGAATGTCCAATCTCTGCCGACACAATGCCAGCCAATGAGAGAGTCCAACCAGGAGTCTAAACTATTGAGGATGTAGAAGATGATCAGCGGAGAAATATGGAGTCCTCTATCACTTTGTTCATGACAAAAACAGAGAAATGAAGCAACTCATCCTTCCCAAAAGCCTCAAGGTTCAAGTGTTTGTAGTAGCTTGTGATCAAGCAGGACTCCACATGACGGAGGATGTGTCTGCTCCAACCAGGGATCACTGTTCCTGGCACAGGATAGCTGATGATATTGTTTGACTACAGTAAAAATAGTGAGGCATGTACTTTGGACAAAGCAAAGAAGTGATTTCACCCAGCAGGGTATCCAAGAGACCATGAGAGGTCCTTGCAATGGATTTCAAGTCCTTGATCCCAGTCGGATTGGAGCTGATCATGTTCCCTTACTCCCAGATACCTTCACCAAATTCACTCAGGCCATTCTTACATGGCTAAAAAGCCTTAGATTATAGCCAGATCTGCCTGGATCACCTCTTATAAATGACTAAAAAGGTTTTGTTGAGCGAGTGGTGACTTTTACTCAAAACCTTAGCATTTGCCCAGATTGCTGCTGATAGAAGACAGTACAGCCATAAATGTGGACCTGAACATTCTTGCCATGATGACACAAATCACCTGCTAAACACACAAGTGGGTATTGTGTGCTTAGTGGAGTTCCCAGGAAGGCAAGACTCAAGAGTCCTGATGAAGGGTCCCGACCCGAAACATCGACTCTTCCGCTCACCTGATGCTGCTTGACTTGCTGTGTTCCTCTACATCCACACTGTATTGACTCTGCTTCCAGCATCTGCAGTTCTTGCTATCTCTGAAGTTCACAATGTAACCTCCAGTAGCAGGAGGCGAAGGTCGTGGAGGAACCAAGCAGACCAGCTGGAGCCATTGTACCAGGACCTCCAGCAGCAGGTGGCGATGGTGAGGGAGGCCTCTGAGCAGGATGAAAAGGTGTCTTTAAGCGAAGAAGGTTTGGAGAGTCAAAGTATTTCCTCATCCCAATACAAACCACAGGCTTAATTTCATGTAAGCACTATGCCTTCATTGTTTAACCTTAATTTCACTTCATGTTTGTAATGACTTAATGCAGTGGAATATAGGACCTCTGCTTCATGATTTTTGGGTCATCTGTATATTCAAATCTCATGTTATATTTCTTCAACATTCTATTCTATGAAACTGACTTCATCACTGACTGCAGATGTTTAATAGCTTTGGTTCAAACCTCCCAATTTCAGATCCAGATCAGACAAAAAGTTCCATAGTTCATTACTTCCAACTTATCAGGCCCATAAACAGATTAAGGATTCTGCAGAACTCACGGGGATCTTCACCAGGAGTAGTGTGGACAATCTTTACAGAAGACAAAAGTTAACTGTGTAAGGTGAGTGTCTGAGGGGGTCAGTTCACAGGCATTTGGTTGGGTGTGCCTGGTGCCAGGCTGCTGAGCAAGAGGGCAGGGTGGCACTTGGTGGGTAATCAAGTCAGATTGGGTGGGGGGGGCTGGGTGGTTATCGGCACAATCAGAAGGTTGAGGGGGTGGATACTGTGGTGCTGGGTGAGATTGTCAATCAGGTTGGGTCTCAGGTCGCTTGGTGATGGGACGTAGTTAAATCAGGCTGTGGGAGTAATAATGAGGTCAGGCGGGGCCACAAGGTAGTCAGGTTGTGTTAGGGGTCAATAAAGGGATAGTCTTGTGGATGTAAGTGTGGTCAAGTCAGCTCAAGGGCAAAACATGGATGAACAGGATATCTGGGGAGTTGGAGGTTCGTTGGGTTTGGCTTGGGGGAGGTAGTTGTGTTATAATGTTCTGTTAAGTTTACCAATAGAGTACATTGGGTGGGGTGCGGTGCAGGGTGGTGCATCAGGAGGATTGAAAGACCAGGCCAAACCGGGGAGTCAGGAGAGTAGGTGGTTCAGGTCAGAACGTTGACAGACCAGACTGAGGATTGAGGTGAGTTTGAAGATTTTAATGTGGGTGGAGTCAAATGGTTGGGGAAGATGTCCAACAGGGAGTTGGGGATGTGTTATATAGTTACCCAGTAGTGAGTGTAACAATTCCTGGCTCGCTATTGAAGTCAGATTTGGAGAGTCCATCAAAGGGTACAGGATAATTGCTGGTCGGAAATGTAAACTTTCAAGGCAATTCCCAGATGATCACTACATCAGCATTTCTGAGGGGTCTCAATGAGTGTCTTTGGGTTACGTCTGCTTTCCAACTATCTGGAGACCAGGAAATCTGGGCCTTTTTTTATTGAGGAAAATGAGAATTGGGGCCATTTGTCTTAATTTTGTGTCTGGTGCAGGTTCTCAACACACTTTGCCAATGTTACACTGCCATCTGCAGTCTACCTGCTTCCACTGGAATGCACTGTTAGAGTGGGAATGTTGCTGACTGGGTATCTCTCCTCCAATAAGACAATACACAGATGCTCTGTCTGCCCTCTCTGGCCTTTTCAAAGCAGAGCAGAGAATGCTTCCAGTGGCTGATATTTATCCCTCGGCCTGCAACACTGAAACTGTTTATCTGATTATTATGTTGTAGCCTTTTTGTGAATATTTGCTTTATGCTGGTTAGCTGCTGTGCATTTAATGTTACAACAATGGCTATACTTAGAAAGTACCTCACTGGCTTTAAAATGCTTTGGGAGGTTGTGAAAAGTGTATATATAAACGCAAGTTGTCTTTTCTTGTTATCCCTGGACTTTTTGCTCTTAGGAATGTGGCTTATCGGAATTTTTAGCAGAATGATTACTGTTTTAAAGCAGCAGACTGGGCTGCCTTCTATTCTTTCTGGAAGTCCCAACACTGGGGCCGACAGTAAAAAGCAATCCTGCATTCTCTGGCCTGCAAGGCCCTGGGACTGCATATTGCCAGTGATGGCCATATAGGAGGCTGCTGCTGGGAAGGGCAAATAACATCTCATATGTCTGCCAAAGATTTACAAAGGTGTCAAGCTCAGTAAGGTGCTCAAGTCATGGAAGGCTGGCCTCAACAGTTTGTGATGATGCTGTGGCTTTAAGAGGTTATTTTGTTCTGTTTTTTTTTTTGAAGAGATATTTTAAGACAGAGTTAATCAGCAATCTACCAGAACCAATAGAGTAAACAGCTTGTGATGCCTTGGGTTTTTTTTAATGTTGGAACAATAGAAGCAGCCTGAAGGGTGGGGTGAAACTCCCACAGATCCAGGATCTATAATTTAGCTTTCAGCAGAAACTGCTGGGGTTGTGAAAAGCTGCCACATCTCTCTTTGCTACAGCTGAAAGCTGGAGTTCTCTCTCTCTCAGAATTGTCTTTTGATTTTTTTTTCTCTCCTGGATTGGAGAACTGCATGATTTGCCTTTTGCCAAGGGGTGTGTTTATGGGATGTTGCTATATTGGAACAGTTAATTCGTAATAGTTACTGTATCTAATGTTCTGTTAAGTTTTCCAATAGAGTTTAAGTTATTTCAATTCCTTCTTTGTTCTATTTTAACTACAGTGGATGAATAAAGCATGTTTTGCTTTAAATTGACTGATCAAATTGCATCTAGAAGACAACACCTTAATTTACCTTTAAAATAAGAAAAAGTTAGGGTCTAGACTACTAAAAATTTTGAGGGGGTTTGGTCTGGTCCATAACAAGTGTGATAATGTTGTAAATGCAGGAGTATGCCACATGAGGAAATGAATGAGTGTAGTTCAATGCTCTATTTTTATTCACTCGTCAGGCATGGGCATCTCTGGTTGGACCAGCAATTATTGCCTGCCCCTAGCTGCCCTTGAGAAAGTGATGGTGAGTTATCTTCTTTAACCGCTGCAGTCCACATGCTAAATATAATTACTCTGCTAGGATTTAGGGAAACATTCTTAAAGGAACTTCATCAAGTCCATCTGAAAACCATAGTAAGAAGTATTCTTGGCGTCCATAGTCAAGCAGAGATTTTTGAAGAATTTGTGAAATATTGCAAAGTGAGTCTCAGAATAAGAGTTGACCCACTCAACATTCATTCCTTGGTCAAACACAAGGAAATTGTGGAGGGGGTCTTGCGATGCAGTGGTACCATTCCTACCTCAGAGCCTGGAAGCCCAGGTTCAAGTCCCACCTGTTCTTGACGTGTATCATAACAGCTCTGAGCAGGATGATTCGTAAATATCTACAATAAGGGGGCCTTGTGGCACAGTGGTAGTATCCCTACCTCTGAGTCAGTCAGCCTGGGTACAAGATCGACTTGCTCCAGAAGTGTGCAATAACATCTCTCTGAACAGGTTGCATAGAAAATATTTAAGGAAACTGTGGTAATAAGTCCATGGGGTTTTCTTTGAAGTGGAAGGGATCTTGTTTTAGTTGATTGCCTAAGCATCAAAATTATGACTATATTGAATGCCACGTTTGAGAAAACTATTGGTTTTGAGACGTTAGCCATTTGAGGGTTGTTGGAAACACTGGTGTCAGATAATGGCCCACAGATTACATCAGAAGACTATTCCTGAGTAAGAATGCAATCAAACACGCATTAATAACACTGTATCACCCAGCACTGAATGAGAGAAATGAACAAATTGTGAGAAAAGCCTCTGCAGGATTACTTGTGTTATCATCCCAGATGAAGTGATTACAGAACAAGTGAGATCCCAGACTGAAATCTTTGTTTTGCTTTAAACAAGGTGGTCTCGCACTGAAACATAAGCATTGAATATTGCAGGTTTGAATTTAGCAATAAAACAGAAATTTGTTAAGCAAAAGAAATTAAGATAAAGTAGAGTTAAATCCTTCATACATACAGAAGAACTTGTATGTCACTAATACAAAATTCAAACTTCAAAACTTAAAAACACTTATATGAGTATATATATATAAATCATGTACTAAATGTCATGTTTGCTAGAAAATAACAAGACAGTAATTTTTGTGGGCTAAAATTGTCCAGTTTGTGTTATTTTCGAAGAGATTCAAGGTGCCCTACTGTGGCCTATGTTGGCTTTTCTCATAAAATCATTCACTCTTCAGCTTATTAATTATTCAACCATCCTTTCTTGTTGTGAGAGTCTGTAAAGTGCACATTCTTTGTGTTGAAATCTGTCAATGATACAACGCATACAATCATATATCAAAACATTTATTGTTCAACAAGAAACTTCAAGGCATGCAGGAATAAGTATGTCCACATCTACTGTGGACTGACCAGGGACTGCTTGCCATTTCACCAACAGGAGCTAATGCAATGAAAGGAAATCCAAACTCTGCTCATTCTTTCTTTAAGCAAGTTTCAATAAGATTCTGCCTGGTTCTTGAGCTCTTTCATGGTCTGTTAAATGCCTAGTCAGGCTAATGACCTGATTCTGATCCACATTCTCAGAGGACTGTTCTCGTTTCTGTCTGCATCCAAGACAACCCCATTTTCTGGTTGTGAAGGATGCAGCATGTCATTAATGGTGTGGGACACCTTTTTGGCCTATACTGCGAGGCTTCCTTGGAGCAGCCTAGGCATTGAGACCTTCCCTTAAGAAGGCCCGCTGTCTCTTGCATCTTGGCTCTGCATCAGTCTGTGAGTTTTGTAAAAGCGCCATTTGCACTGTTTTGGAGGGGGTAGCTCTTGTCTCCCAGCAACGATCCCAGGATGCCTCAAGCACATTGGAAGAAACCTGTGGGTTCTTCAATATGTATTCATAAAGGCAGCTCCCGGGATATCTGGCACAGACCTCCAAAATCTGGATTCTATGGTCACAGATGCGCATTGGTAGAATATCAGCCTCTTACAGTTGGTGACCTCTGCAGGTTAGCGATGGGATGTTCTCAAAGCCATGTGGGTGTAGCCTTTAGTGCCCTGCACCAATCCCACTGCCTGAGCTGCTTGACTCTCCTTTTCACAGGGACGTTATAAAAAGTGAACTCCAACAGCTGCAGATGCTGGCAACCAAGTTGGTAAATCAGGGTCTTTCTCCATCAGCTGCTGACTCTCCCCCAGAGTCTGTGCAGTAGCCGTTGGATGTTCCTGGGCTTGCTGATGGTTGCTGTCATCTTCAATGCTGACGTTTAAAGGTCAACAAAGGTATCCTCCAAGTATGAGGTCTATCTTAGATGATCGGATCATTTGTGGAGATTGTTGGAAGTAGAACAGCATTCTAACGATGGTACTCCTGATCCCTCACATCAATCACAATGAAACAACATGTTATTTCCTCACATAGTGTGTCAAAGAAGCTTCACCTTTGCAGGCAGGCTAAAGTCATGTTTCGATAAGGAGCTCAGAGCTCCTTAAATTATGCAGATGTACGCAGCAGAGTCAATGTGCTATATTAGATTGCGGGGATTAAATACAGGCACTTCCATGCTGTGACAATGTGGCAGCTCCCAAAATGATGTCTTCCAGTGTAGGTATGAAAAGTGATGCAGAAATTTACAGCTCTGACATGACTGGGGGCCACTTGATGCAAAGTACGTAATGGTTATGATTGCTTGAGACCATAATTTGTAATGTTTGTGCTGCCAAAAGAATGCTCCATCAATAAAATCCATTACAGTATCAATGGATGCATGGTTCATACAACTGGATTTGGCAGAGCCTCACATGAGAATGCCCATGATGAGAAGAAACAATAACCCAGTCTGTCTACCCTGCAAGTGATAGCAGCCATTTTCTCTCTTTATTGATAAGTCTTCATTTTCTTCCCCGACAAATACGTGGGGGGAGCATAAGTCAGAATGCAAGAACAACTGTTTATCTGTCTCTGAACCCTAAAGGTGGTGAATGGGTGATACCTTATGATATCTTGAGTGTCAAGGTTTTACATTTGCTTTAGAATGGTAGATTGCAGTGTGGGTCTACTCTGCGATAGAATAATAGTTTGAGGGATTAATCTGCTGAGCTGCAGATTGAAGGACAAATGGATTTGCTACAGCCTGGCTGATCTCTGAATTTTTTTCTAAAAGACAGAAGCAAACCATTTGTTTTCAGCACTGGAGCCAACTGTCCCTCTAGAGATTTGGTAGATCAAGTTGTTGCTAGAGATGATTGAAATGTCACACAGACCATTTTAAATTGAATTGTCCTTGGCCTTTTCACCTGAAGGCGTTGACGCAGTGTGATGATTCCATTGGGTGTCAGTAGAGTTCTAGGCAGTGGCTAATTCTTGAGCTAAGATTTCACTGTAAAGACTGTCACAGATCAATGCAATCTTGCCCTCATTGGTCATCCTTTCTCACACTTCCCACTTCCAGTGGTCAATGAATAGATGCAGTAATCTCCATACATTAAGTCAGTCATGGTCAATTATTCTACCTAAGTGCAGTCAATACTAGGACATTTCTGGCTCACTGGGAAATTAGGTGGCTGCATGTACCCAACAGACTATTGTGTGGAAACAATGTACAATAGGTGCTAATCAATGACGGTGGAGAATTAGGCTTCTCTGCTGAGATAACATGACCTTGAGGCAACTCATCCTGCTCCAGTAGGTTTCATGAGTAGTAAACAGGGAATCATCGCATACATTGCCATTTTTCAGCTTTTTATTTATAATTCTTAAAAAAAAATTCAGAGTGATACAGCAATTGCTCAGGTTTTGGTGCTCTCCACAAAGTTACCAATGATTCAGAAAGCTTTGAAATGCCAAACCTTTACAGTCTTTCCAGGAACCCGGAAGAGCTACTGTACATATTTTACATGCATAGTTTGTGCTAGCAATTTTGTGCTTTCAAATGGAGTGATAAGCCCATGGGGAGGTATTGTTATGAATGATACATTTCCCAGTGGTAGTTCCAAAGCCAGGTGTAGAGACTGGGAGTGTGGCTTCAAATAAATGGCTCAGTTGGGGTTTTTTTGGTTTGCCCTGACACTTGACTGAGATTTCCTCTTAGAATAAGGCATCTCAGCAAGTAACGAGGAAAGCTAACAGAATGTTATCATATATCATGTGGGGAATTGAATACAAAAGAAGGTTATGACTTCCACTATACAGGGCACTGATGGGACCATATCTGGAGTATCTGTGTACAATAATGGTCACCTTATTTGCATTGCATTGGTAAATGCATTGGAAATGGTTCAAACAAGGTTTACTAGACTAATAGCTGGAATGGGTGCGTTATCGTAAAGGGAAAGGCTGGACAGCCTGACCTCGCATCCACTGGGGTTTAGAAGAGGAAGAGGCAACTTGATTGAAGCATATAAGATCCTGAGGGGACTTGAGAGGGTGGATCTGAAAAGGATGGTTTCCTCTTGTGAAAAATTCAAGAACAAATGGCCGCTGTTTAAAAATAAATATCTGCCCATATTAAATGGAGGTGAGGCAACATTTCTCTCACCAAGGGTTGTGAGACATTGGAACCATCTTTCTGAAAAGGCAGTGGAAGCAGAAGTTTGCATATTTTGAAGGCAGGAGTGGATAGGTTCTTGGAAAGCAAAGGGGTGAAATGATATAAGGGGTAGGCAGGAATGTGGATTTGAGGTTATGAACAGATCAGCCATGATTTTGTTCAATGGTGCAGTGGGGGAGAAGGGGTAAATGGCCTACCTCCTGCTCCTTGTTTGTATGATTTTGTGAGGTTGTTCACAATGAAAACCATTATGCACTTGTGAGTATCTCCCTGTTTCCACGCTTGGGAGAACAGGCGACTGCTCAGTTCCTTCTGCTTCTTCCATTAGCATTGGTCTCAACCGTTTTTCTACGTTCATTTCCATAATACCCTTTAAAAAAACCCACCAGTAACAGTCTTTTTTTCAAGAAAATTTCTAGAGACCTCTGCATCCACAGCATTTTGGGGAAAGAAGTTTCAGATTTCAACACGTATTTGGGGAAAAGCAATCCAAAGTAAAGAAGATGTACCCTTCAAACACAGAGCCTGATTTTGACTTTGCACAAATTGATGTTCTTTTGATTGATTTCAATTCTCGCCCTTAATTTTAGTGATTGTAATTACTTTGAACTCTTTTATTTGAAAATAGAGCATTTTATATTTTTCTTACTGTCTGTCTCTTTTGGGTATTCTGGGACAAGAGGTTAAACTTCTTCCAGCTCTCTCCGGATGTTATTCCAAACTTATAAGGGGGTATACAATAATGTGCTGGAATGTTTTCACCTGGCTGGAAATCTTTGGTCTTTTCCCATAGCTTCTGGAATTCTGGAGTGAAGGGGTGGCACAGAGGCTCAGTGGTTAGCACTGATGCCTCACAGCACTAGGGACTCAATTTCAATTCCACTCTTGGGTATCTATGTTGAGTTTGCATATTCTCCCTGTGCCTGCGTGGCTTTCCTCTGATAGTCCAAAGATGTGCAGGTTCGGTGGATCAGCCATGCTAAATTGTGCAGGTTAGGTGGATTAACCATGGGAAATGCAGGATTAAGGGATAGGGTAGGGGGTGGGTCTGGGTGAGATGCTCTTTGAAGGGTTGGTTTGGCCACAATGGGCTGAGTGGTCTATTTCCACACTGTAGGATTCTATGAAAGTTGAGGATATAGTGCTTGACATTGCTATTAACATTCTAATACATGTTGTCACCAAACCACTTTCTGAGCCATTTAATTCACTCCCATCTGGACCTGTTCTGAATTCTAATGCTGTAGGCACTCAAACGCAACCTTATTTTCTACTTCAGACAGCAACAGCTTGTACTTTTATAGCACCTTTCACAGACAAAAAAAAACTCAATATAATTCACATGAGTGCTTCAGCTGAGATCTGACACCAAGTTACACTTGGAAACGTGCCTACTTGAAAGATTAGGAACTGATAATTTGATTACAAAGAACTGGACTGAGGAACTGCATAATGAAGATAAAAGTAACACAGATCGCACCAATTAACCTTGATTTAAACTTATGGTTGGATTTTCTTTGGACTTCCGATCTACTACCAAATAATCCACTCCTTTCCAAGGCTGTGGTTATCTCAGAACTCCACCTCAATGTTATAGCAGTTTGCTGCTTTTGACCAAAAACCCAGCACTTTTCATAAATTATTTTGCTACAGATATTATGATCTAAGATTGTTAAAAGTATATACACGTATACAGAACACTTATTTTGTTTTCTTAGAATGTGCTAAGAAAGTATTTTGATGATGGAACTATTTTTCCTGACTCTGTTACTACAACGTCTGTATCCATTGCCATGTTAAAGGGCATGGATCAGGAAAGAGAGATAGATTCCCTACATCAGTAAGTGTAAAGCATATAGCATTCTCATGGTCATAATGGAGAGTGATTGTTATCAACCTAAAAGGTGCTAAAAAATGTAGTGACAAATTATCTCTAAAACATACTGGGCTGCAACAAGGACAAACCTTTAACATAATTTTAATTGAAATTGCTATCTATGTAATGAACTGTACAACCGTTCTCTGCCCATGAAATGACACAATGAGCAAGATGAAGCAAAAAATGCAACTTTTTTCCAGTTATAAATATGTACATGCTTCAATTTATATATTTTTTACATGTTTTTCTACATATATATGAAAGTGGAGATTTTGCGCAATATAATTTTCAAGAACACAACCAATTATAAAACTTTCTCCTGGGGCTGTCAGTGAGACTTAAAGCAGTTAGCTCCCTCTGTTTTGGAAGGTGCTGCACTAGCATTGCTCATGTATCGGACATTAAAAAAGCTGCATCAACATACTGTTACACTAATAATCTTCTAAAATGACTAACTTGTCGAAGGGCAGTAGTGATTAATTTAATGGTATTGATTGCTGAACAAATGTTGGATAGAATGATAAATCATCTTCTTCAAACATTAGAGATAAATTCAGGGAAATTGTCAAAAATATTGAGTTTATGTCAGAATTTACCATAGAGACTAATGACATCAGACCAAAAATACATAAAGATATTGCAGACAGCTAACAGGGAGACCATTGGAAAACGCGAAGACAAGGTAGCATGGTGGCTCAGTGGTTAGCACTGCTGCCTCACAGCGCCAGGGACCCAGGTTCAATTCCACCCTTGGCTGAGTGTTTGTGTGGAGTTTGCACAATCTCCTGTGTCTGCATGGGTTTCTCTGGGTGCTCTGGTTTCCTCCCACAGTCCAAAGATATGCAAGCTAGGTGGATTGGCCATGCTAAATTGCCCATAGTGTCCAGGGATGTGTAGGTTAGGTGCATTAGCAATGGGAAATGCAGGGTTACGGGGATGGGTATGGGTGGGATTCTCTTCAGAGGGTTGGTGTGGACTTGTTGGGCCGAATGGCCTGTTTCCACACTGTTGGGATTCTATGAAGGCACACATGTCTATGTGCCAAGTGCTTGGAAAGTAGAAATATAATTGTTAGGTATAGGAGCACAGCAGGCCAGGCAGCATCAGAGGAGCAGAAAAGTTGACGTTTCGGGTTGGGACCCTTCTTCAGAAATGGGATGTTTCGGTCGGGACCCTTTTTTTGTGTTATCTCTGACTCTAGCATCGGCAGTTCTTACTATCTCTAGAATAGTTAGGTGCTTGGTTTCTCACCAGGATGGACTTGATGGGCCAAAGGGGCTTTTTCTATGCCGTAGATCTTTGATCTCAGATCTTATGACTCTACTTAGAGGGGATAAAACCCCTGATCTGAAATGGAGGCACCACACATGCTAAAAGAATCACAGAATCCCTACAGTTAGGTGAAAAGTAGATTATTTAGAAAGTGGCGTAGTGAAAGGAATGATGGATAGCTGTTTTGATTCCTATAAGTAAGAAAAGAGATAGAATACATCCAGGGAACTGGAGATATCTATTTAACTTAACAGTGGTATTAGGAAAGCTAATGGAATCTTTACCTTAAATGGAAACTGTCTAGAAATACAATAGAGTAGTGAATGTGGATTTCAAAGGAATTCCATGCTGGACCAAGCATATTGCAGTCAGAGAAAGTGTAGTTTTGGGTAATGCAGTAGATCTTGTAAGGAACACAGTTTTATATTTAAGATGGAAATGTAGAGTTTTTTTTTCTCAGAGTTTTGTGAGTCTGCTCCAGAGAACGGTGGAGACAGAGTCATTGAATTCTGTTGATGCAGAAGTAGACTGACTCCCTTGTTAGTCGAGAATCTAAGATGATCAAGCACAGGCGGGAATATTGGCTGGGGGGTGGGGGCTTGCGGGATCACAAGCAAGTCAGCCACAATCTTATGGAAAGATGAAGCAGGTTCAAGTAGTGACATGGTCTACTCCTCCTAATTCATATGTTCATATGCAATGTACTTGAATTTTGAGAAGAATTGTTTTGAAAAAGATTCAAAACATTATCTCTGTTTCTCACTCCACAAGTATTGCCAGACCTGCTGAGTTTCTCCAGAATTCCCTGTTTGTTTGCTTTTGATAAAGTGCTGCATAACGAGCTCATGACAAAAGTCACAGAACGCTGAGTCACTGGACAAGATGAGCAGTATGGAGAGCAAAGTGGCTACGGAACTGAAAACAAGAACTAAGGGATGAAAGGTAACTGGGGAAGACAAGAAGCGATGGTCCACAGGCACTGGAGTTGGAACTAGAATTGTTCACCATTTACATAAATGACTCTGGAATTGTAAGTATAATTACCGAATTTGAAAATTGTGTACGTGTGGGGAAATGGGGGTGGTGTATGGATGATAGAGGACAATTGAGATAAAATACAAGAAAACATTAATAAACTTGCATGAGCATGTAAACGGAAATGAATTACAACACCGAAAACTGAGAGCTAATGCATTTTGATAAGGGCTATTCTTATTTTATAAATTCAATGTAATTTAATTTTAATGAATTTATATGCTATTTCATTTAATTGAAAGTGACTTAATTGGAACAGAAATTTGACAAGAAACAGGAAAACTCCCTGCAGGTGATAAGAAAGAAGAAAGATCTTCCATCAATTTGCCACATTCAGAAACTTAAAATGTCTCAAAGACTTCTGAGGACAACAAAACAAAAGTGTAGTCAGATCTGAGTATGTAAAATACAGCCACAATTGGTGCACAGTAAAGTCTTGAGATAAATACCAAATTAATCTGCTTTGGTGGTTAATTGAGGAACCAAAATATTGGCCAGAACACATTTTTCAAAAGTTGCTTTTTCTCTAAGATCACCAAATAAGATCCCAGAATGGCATGAAGTACTTATAAGTAACATAGCATTGAGATGTAGCAATGGGGTTAAGAAATTTTGGCTGTAATGTAACTAATTGCAACACAATTGCGACTCCTTTGATTAAACCTGAGCTGAAGGCTGATTGATGCAATGGTCTGGTGTGATTTCTCTCCTCACCTCTGCAGTGAGTCAACATCAAATAAATGACCCGTTTCACACTGAGCTGCATGCATGTGCTGCTCCTTTATGGCCATCAGAAGGCACATGAAATGCCACTAAATGTTTTTGTGAGATGTTTCATGACTGATAAATAAACAACAGCAATGACAGGCAGTTAAGTTGAAATATAAATCTATCTGTGGAAGCTGCTATCAGCTGTGAATAAGAGGCAGGGAAGGAAATGACTCATACAGCACGCAATTCACATATCCCTGGCACGTATTGCTCAACCGTGCAGAACACATGGGCATTTCATCACACCTTCACCTTTCGATGCAGATGGCCAGAAACTACTTTATGGTTTCACTGACAGCCAAAAATTCAATTTCTGCACCACCATGCCTGGGACTAACCCGTTGTTCTGTTTAAAAAAAAAAAAGAGATTTTTCAATGATATCTGCAGTAACTCAAAATTCATTCGGCACAGAGGAAAGATTACAATGTTCCAAAATGATCGTTTTGTCTGGTTGTACAGCACGACCCTTCACAATGGCTCCTTCATGTGGTGATTGCTGGGAGTGCAGGTACAAGCTCCTTCATTTTCTGCAGCAGGAGGGAGCTCTGATGTCCGTCAGGAGGACTGCATGAGACCAGTAAGACGTTTTGCAGTCAATGACTTACCCTAGAAAATAGGCATTTTTGAACACAATTAACAAATATAACATTTATTACCGGTGGGCATACCTATTAACTCATCATATTATCAGTTTTCACATATTCAGTGTGGGCACATGAAATTTCATATTGTCCTTATTTCAAAAAACACCCAGCAAAACAATCACAATTTTCCTCTTTGAAAATTGAAGTGTGTTTGCTTTATTATATACCTTTAAATGAATACTGTTACTACTATAGTTAGATATCTGTCCTTAGTATCTTAGGACTGTGGTTGTCTACACATACACGGGTGGCAGATTATCTCTAAGTAAGGCTCTTCCACTTCTGATGTACTGTAACATTCTTTTATTTACATCTGTAAATCAGAGGATACTAAATACAACTCTTTAGTTTATTATCTACAACCTCTCTCTTTACATGCTGCTGCTAGTCTGATGTCTTCTCTCGATTCCTCTTACAGCTTCAGTTTCATCACTTGTATTATACTATGGTGCTTGGAGGACGTTACTTTTTTAACTCTGTAATAAGGAAGCTTTGCATTCATTTTAAAACTTTCTCCATCTCTCTGTTTTTCACACAATGGATTATTTTGAAATGCCTGCGTGTTTGTGTAAATCAGTCATTTCACATACTGCAGCATTGAGTAAGCAACTGATACAAAGGATTAGTTGAATCATGTTAGTCGAGCAACAAGTGTTGGCTAGGAGTCCAGAAGAACATATTGCTCTTCAGTTAATGGCATGGGATTGCTTCTGTACGTCTCAAAAACACATGTCATCCAGGGAGTGATATCTCTGACCATTCACACATTTATTCACACTGTAGTTACAGTCTGGATTACTGCAACACAGACTGCATTGTGACCTGGAGTGAGGCTTGAACTTTTAACATCACAATTGGTGAAATGTCAGATTGACCTGAGGGGCTAACCACAATATTGATGAAGGCTGACTTAACTGTCCTATAATGTTATTAGCATCAAATCACAAAATATACTTAAGGTTGGAGCATTATTATAAGGCAGAATGAAGCAACATGGGGAAACCTGTACAAAACACTATGGTGTAGAGCTGGATGAACACAGCAGGCCAAGAATTCAGAATTTCTGAAGAAGGGTCTAGGCCCGAAACGTCAGCTTTCCTGCTCCTCTCATGCTGCTTGGCCTGCTGTGTTCATCCAGCTTTACACCTTGTTATCTCAGATTCTCCAGCATCTGCAGTTCCTACTATCTCCAAAGCACTGTACAATAATTTACTGACTGACTGACTGGGGGTGCACGAGTCTGCTGTAACCTTCTGCAGTTATTCTTATTTATGGCACTGGAGTTGATTCGCAATTAATTTTGCGAGAAAAGGACTTATTTCTCTCATGGCACCTGTGTTTATTTCCAAGTACATATTTCATGGGCTGGAAAAGTACTCCTCTTCAAAATGAAAATTCATTCAAAATACACCTATGTTCCACTTCTCTCTGTCTCATTTTTACACAAAATGAAATTACAGAGATGACATCACTGACAATACATGGAGAATCTGCGAACCACACACAGAGACACAAGACGTAGGGAGGGATGTGGCTGACAGCACAGCTACCTGAAACAGCAATTCTGGTGTTTCACAATTGGTGCAAGATGCCTGCTCTGTGAATCCAGTGAATATTGTTGCAGCCTTATATCTGCCAGCCCTACCAGACTGCCTATTTCTGCACCGGCTTCATAAAAAACGGTATGCAGTACTGGGGAAATAGTTGTGAAACAAATGCATTGTTGCCACACAGCTCAGTAATGGACAATGGGCAGTGGAAAATCTCCTGGACAAATGTCACTTGAGGTGACTGCTCCACCTGGGGGCTCACCCTCACTAACCCACCCTCACTCACCCACCTTGAGTCATTGACCCTGCTTACTCATTGACCCTCACTGACTGACTGAGCCTCCCTCATTCTTTGACTCACCTTCACTCATTGACCCTCCCTCCCTCACTCACTGTCATTCAGTTAGCCTCCCTCACTCCCCATCACTCATTTACCTTCTCTCGCTCACTCTCTCATTCAGTGACCTGCCTTCATACATTCATACATTGACCCTCCATTACTCCCCCTTCATCACTTACCTTCACTCATTCAATCTCCCTCTCTCCCTCATTCACTGACTCTCTTGTTCAGTTACCCTCCCTCACTCATTGATTCACCCAATCTCCCTGACTCAGTCACTCTTCCATTTAGAAATGAAATGGGTTCCACGTTGTTGAAAATCAGGGGAAGGTTAGGTAGAACAAAAAGAAATGTTAGGGAGAGTTTAGAGTGCTGGAAATTAATTACCAAAGATTTCAATGGCAAAGGCAAAGGGAGTGGTAATGGTATGAATGAAGAAATGAAGCATTAGTCCAGAGTGGATATTAATAGCAGAATAAAAATCAGCTGTCTGAAAGCAGGAACATTAGAACAATTTCAGACTGGGACTTAGAGCCATAGACTTGTACAGCACAGAAACAGACCCGTCAGTCCAACTTGTCCATGCTGACCAGATATGCTAAATTAATCAAGTCCCATTTGCCAGCATTTGGCCCATATCCCTCTAAACCCTTCCTGTTCATATATCCATCCACCTGCCTTTTAAATGTTGTAACTGTACCATGCCTTCACCACTTCCTCTGGCAGCTCATTCCATGCACCACCCTCTGCGTGAAAAAGTTGCCCCTTAGGTCCCATTTAAATCTCTCCCCTCTCACCTTAAACCTATGCCTTCTAGTTTTAGACTCCCCTACCCTAGGGAAAAGGCCTTGGCCATTCATGATTTTATAAACCTCTATAAGGTCACCCCTCAGCGTCCAACATTCCAGGGAAAACAACCCCAGCCTATTCAGCCCCTCCCTAATAGCTCAAACTCTCCAACCTTGGAAATGTCCTTGTAAATCTTTTCTGAACCCTATATCACCATATCTTTCCTATAGTCTTAGAGATAAAGTTCGTGGTCTGAAGTTGTTGAACTCAATGTTGAGTCCTGAAGGCAGTAATGTCTAAACAGAAAATGAAGCGGTAAACACTCAACATTTCATCAAAGCTGTGCCTCTGCTTGGAGGTCCCATGCATGCCAATTAGCATCTAACGCATTGCTTTCTGCATGCAATGTGCAGAATAGAAGAACAGTTTTTAAAACCAGCAGGAATCCAGGAGAGTGAGCAGTTTACAATAGACCATTCAGAACACCATGAGGGTTGGAAAACATGATTTGTGAATTATGTGGGAGACTACAATGGTCGACATTAAAATAAAGGTTCTGAATGTGGAAGCTGAAGGTGTCACCTGGAAAGAGTTACAGGTATATACACAAGAGGATAGGGAGAGTATGTAACATTTCAAAATGCTCAGAGATCAAAGTCAACAATGCACTTCCAGCTGAACATAAAATAAATCTCGATAATATTCTTGGGGAAAAAAAGGATTTTTTATCATAAAAGAGACGAATTGTCGACTTCCGACAAATAAGTCACTTTGATCTTATTGTTTCGAAAGGTTAATTTACAAGGTTTGAGTTCAGAAAGTGAAACTAAAGATGGAATTACACCTACGACTGACATATGGAGCAAGAATTGGGCTGTAGACACAACTGAAACATTCTTTGCGGAGATAAGTGCAGAGCGTAAAAAAAATGCAGGTATTAAGTATGTAAACGTGGCAATATTACTTGTCACATGTACTTGGCTTATGTTTGAGTTAAGCTTTTATAGCTTTGCCATATGATATGAACAGCATGTGTGTTATTGTGGACAAATTAACTCTATCCAAAACTAAGGACAATGACTACAGCAGCAAAATTGTAGCATTTGCAAAGCATACAAGATTGGACACACTGAATCGGCAACACTTCCACAAATCCAGGTTATGGGTATAAAATATTTTGTTTTGAACACAGGCAGTCAGAGAGAACTTGAAACAGGGGAGCAAACTTGGCACTCACTCTCTCTCTCTCTTTTTCTCTCTCTCCCTCTCAGAAACCTTTTGCATCAACGTTTCAGAGCTAGAAGCCTGAATCTACAGCCTGTCTGCAGAAAAAGAAAATTCAAACAGTTGTAGCTGATCCAGAAAGACACCCCAGTACCAATAGATTGTGAGGTAAGCGACATTGGCTAAAGACCAACATTTTGACAATTGGTGAATAATTCTTATTTCCAAATTCAACTGTTTCTTGGCCAAAGTTTTATTTTAAGATAACATTCTGCAGAATTTTATTTCTTTTTTCAAGATCGAAGTGGTTCTATAATGTGTGTGTGTGTGTGTTTGTGTATGTGTCTGTATCTGTGTTATTTTTCAAGAGGGGTAATTGGGCAATTTTGCACATTTTAAACCTTTTATTTATATTTCTTGCCATCTTTGCTTAAGTAGATATTTTTTTCTCCTGCAATAAAACAAATTCTTTGTTAGCGAAAAGAACCTGGCTGACTTGTTTTGGGCCCTGAACCACGTACAGTCTGATTGGTGATATCACCTCCCTTTTAAATTCAAGCTTTGTTACAGCCAAGCAGAGAGTGGGAAAGTAATGCACCCCTCCCAACTAAGTTCAGAGGGAGACGAGTTAGAATGGATGAGGGAGGCTGAGAAATTAAGGCGATTGCTGTAAAGCAGATAGTTCTCAATGAAAATTTCATGAGTGGACCAGAGGGAGGGATCCAGCTAGACTGACTGTATTTGAGATGGCTGAAAGGCTTTGTTGCACAAGGGATGGCCTCCCGCCCTAAGTAGGGAGTACAGAGGCGAAGGCAATGAAAGATAAGTTCAACATCATCCCAAGCATGAATTTAATAGATGTGGGAGCTTAAAGGGATGAAAGTTATTCCTTCGGTGAACACATTATTTAACATCACAGAGTTATAGGCCAGTGAACATACTGTGAGAAAACGGGATGGAGTCAGAGGGAAGGGAACATGATCCGGAAGGTCCACATACTTTAGTAGAGCTTGCGTTCCTTAACACCTAAAAAGGAAAGCCTTCTTGTTAAGGTTTCGGATGCGATGAAGAATCCAATGAAACTGGGGAGCAGGACTGCTTTGATGCAGAGCTATTTGGCGCTGCTGGGAAGAGAGAGAGATTGCGTGTTTACATGTGATGGTGCAGGACACTGAGTGCAGATCTCAGGATGGCAGCCAGGACAGCTGTCAGAGGAATGTTGTATGTTTTGGAGATAACTGGGTGGATCATTAGAATCTATGCGGTGTTTTCACGGAGTTTGAGGCAGCTGTTGAGGAAGGGCATGTGGCTGTGAACGTCAGCACAGCCTGGCCCAGTTCCACGCTGACTAGCATCCAAGCCAGTAATCAGGTATTTCTTTGTGCAAAGGATACCGTTTACATTGACCTACACATTTTTTCCAGTTCAGCGGAAGAAGGCAACTCGATGAATCAGTGCACGCTTTATGTCAACAGTGCTATGAAACTCTTAAACTTACCACACTGCGAGTGAATTTTTCCAGCGAGGTTCTGCGACCCTGCTCATTTTCAGGCTTGAATGGGTGAAACGAAAACAAAGCAGAAAGAATCACAACAGGAAAATCATAATAACGTGCAGCAATGTGGGGGAAGTGATGTAAAAATATTCAGGGAGGGGAGCTCATTCAGCCTGATATACAGACAGCTCCAGGGACACCAACTGAAATGCTGATGTTGATTTCCTGACAAAAGCCCTGAAGGAAGCAACACAGAGCAGTAAGAGTGTCTAAGATAAAGAAATAGGATGTACCTTACCATAACAACAGAATATTTAATGAGTAAAATTAGCCTTCGTTTGTGTTTTCGATCACTAGCCAGTCACGTGGTAGAGATTTGTGGGTGTTTGCTGGGATCTGCTGTGATGCTTGCCACAGTTGAATAGTTTCTTATCACTAGCTCTCGGGGCTCACCCATGAATACCAACCAACTCGAGACTGGTTTGGGTGTCTGCGACCCATGGAAAAGTTACCCTCACTTAGGAAGAAAACGAAAGGCACAAAAATAAACCGATTGCAGCATTTTATTAAAAATTGCTGTTTTCTTTTTGTGATTCCTAATGGCCGGATTTGTGAGGCAGCTTGAAAAATTTCTTGGTTGTGATAAATTTCTCCCCCCCAACCGAGTGGCTGAAGAGTTCGATACTCAGTTCTACTCAGGGGATGGTCATTGTTGTTTTTAGTGGAAAGGCAGACAAGACTTGGATCTTCACTTTCTTTGACTTAAATCTCGATCTCTCTGGTCAGATACCACCAATGGGGTAATTTCCCCACTGAGCACAGACAGGTCTGCTGGTGAAAATCCTCTGAAAACTCATATATAGTCATCCAGCGCAGAAATGGATCTTTTCTTTCCAACCAGTCCATGCCAACCATAATTCCAAACTAAACTAGTCCCACCTGCCTGCGCCTGACCCATATCCCTCTAAACGTTTCTTATTCCTAAATGTGTCTTAAATGTTGTAACTGTACCTGCATCCACCGCTTACACAGGAAGTTCACATGTGAACCACTTTGTGTAAAATAAAAATTGCCCCTCATGTCTCTTTTAAATCTTTCTCCTCTCATCTTAATAATATGTCCCCCTGTCTTGAAATTCCCCACCCTAGGGAAAAGGTACCTGTTATTCACCTTTTATAAACGTCTGTAAGGTCACCCTTCAGCCTCCTATGCTCCAGTGAAAAAACAGTCCCAGCCTATCCAGCTTCTCTGTATAACTCAAACCCTCCACTCCTGGTAACATCCCGGTAAATCTCTTTTGAAGCCTCTCCAGCTTAATAATATCCTTCTTATAATGGGATGACCAGAATTGGACACAATACTCTGGAACAGTTCTCACTAATGTTCTGTACAACCTCAACATGACTTCCTAATTCCTATACTCAAAGGTGTCAGCAATGAAGGCAAGCCTGCTAAACGCATTCTTAAGCACCCTATCTATATGTGATGCAAATTTCAAAGAGTTATGTAGCTGAACCCCTAGGTCTGTCTGTTCTACAATACTCCTCAGGAACGATTCCTGGAAATTGGTCACAGTAATACAATTGGACAATGGTGGCTTGGAAGGTCCAATCCACCAGTTGCTATCTTCCTCAAATGATCTTGTTCCTGTTTCCCTCTCTTCTAAATTCTGCCAAAGTGCAGTTCCACAAAGCCTTGAGGTCTCAGCCAGCTCCTCCTATTTGTACTTCGGCAATGGGTGTGGGTAGGCAATTTGATTATGAAGGGCAGCAAGAGTACAATTCAGCAATGTGTCATTCTCCTGATTTCCCAGACCCAGGGGCTCTATCCTAATAGTGGCCCCAGCTGAGAGAGGGATCAAATCTGAGGCCTTCATCACACATTGACCCAGCTCATTTATCCAGTGAAATTAGCATGCTTGGCTTGAAATCCAGTAATCACTAGTAAATATCGAGAACGTTCCAAATGTTAGAGGGTGCAAAATTCTGGGAGAATACCTTTTTCTTAGCTTGTAGAAGCTCCTGATATGCATTGGAACGCAGAAAGCGAGCGTAGCTGTCACTTTTCATCAATTTGTAGATGTGTTCCTGAAAGGTAAGATTAATGTTATTGAAGCTGTTTCCGTCTCACCGCTGATCACGTAACCATTTTCCGAGCATTGTTTGGCAACTGACAACGTAAACCAACGCCTATTCAATGTTACCAGTGTGTGAGGCCCAGGGGTCTTCTAGTCCCTGGGGCTCACCGACATCCTACCAACAGCTGCCCACCTAAATCAGGATGGAGGAGGCCACAGCCTAGTCCAGGTCTGAGTTATACGCAGTCAAGGGGTTGGAGGGCTGGGTCGGAGCATTCCATTAGGCAGATGATCAAAATGCCATGAGGGCCCTAATGCCGTCAGAAAACCCTGATTACAATACATTGGCTCCATTAAAAGGGACATGGATCAGGTGCCAGTGGCAGGAATTGAGGAGGAACAGACCCATGAGTCTTTGCATAACTGTCTTAGCAGAGTTTCTGCTGGATTGATGTTCTCCCCATGTCACACTTACCAATGTAACTTACAGCTATGGACTTTAATTCAGTGCAATTATACTGTTTTTTTTTAGCTAGTGAACAATTTAATTTATAAATAACTCAGATGCTTTATAAACATGGATAGGACAGCACAGGAACAGGCCCTTTGACCTATTCTAAACTAATCCCATCTCCCTGCACATGGTCTGTATCTCTCTATTCCCTGCCTGTTCATGCCTCTTAAACGTTGCTATCATATATGCCTTCCCTGGCAGTGCATTCCAGGAATCTACAAACCTCTGCGCAAAAAAAAACTCGCCCCGCACATCTCCTTTAAACGTTCCCCCTCTCATGTTAAACCTATGTCCCTTAGTATTTGACATTTCCACCCTACTCATGACTCTCATCATTATATATACTTCTGTCAAGCCACCCCTCAGCATCCAACGCTCTAGCAAAAACAATCCAAGGTAGTCCAACCTTTCCTTGTAGCTAATACGCTCCAATCCAGGCAACATGCTGGTAACCTGTTCTGCACCCTCTCCAAAGCCTCCACATTCTTCCTATAGTGTGGCGACCAGAGCTATGCACCGCATTCCAAATGTGGTCTGACACTAAAACCTTATACAGTTGCAGCATGACTTGCCAACTTTTATACTCCGTGCCTAACCGATTAAGGCAAACATACTGTGTGCCTTCTTTACCACCATGTCCACTTACGTTGCCACTTTCAGGGAGCTATGAACTTGCTCTCCAAGGTCCCTCTGTATATCAATGCTCCTAAGGGTCTGCCACCTAAGGCATACTTTCCACTTGCATTTGGCCTCCCAAAATGCATCACTTCATACTTATCCAGATTAAACTCCACCTGCCATTTCTTTGCCCAACTTTCCAACTGATCTAAATCCTGCTGCATCCTTAGAAATCCTTCCTCACTATCCACGACTCCACCAGTTTTGATGACATCCACAAATGTACTAATCAGAACACTGACATTTTCATTCAAATCATTTATATACCTTACAAACAACAGAGATCTCAGCATTGATCCTTGCAGAACACCACTGGTCACAGACCTCCAGTCAGAAAACACTTCTCCACAATTACCCTCTGTCTTCTATGAACAAGTTAATTTTGTATGTGACTTGCCAACTCACCATGGAATCCATGTGATTTGATCTTCTGTATCAGCCTACCATGAGACACCTTGTCAATTGTTTTCATGAAGTAGACAACATCCACTACCTTACCTTCATCAAGCACCTTCATTACTTCCTCAAAAAACTCAAATCAAGATTGTGAGACAAGACCTCCCCTCATAAAACTATGGTGACTATTCTTAATAAATCTATTCTGTTCCAAATGCAAATAAAACCTCTCCCGAAGAATCTTCTCTAATAATTTCCCTACCACTGATGTAAGGGTCATCATAGAGTCATGGAGATGTACAGCATGGAAACAGACCCTTCAGTCCAACTCGTCCATGCTGTCCAGATTCCTAAATTAAATGAGTTTCATTTGCCAGTATTTGGTCCATATCCCTCTAATCCTTCCTATTCATATACCCATCCAGATGCCTTTTAGGTATTGTAATTGTACCAGCCTCCACCAGCTCATTCCATACACACACCATCCTCTGCAATGAAAAAGTTGTCCCTTAGGTGCCTTTTAAGTCTTTTCCCTCTCACCTTAAACCTATGCCCTCTAGTTTTGGATCCCAGTCTATTTAAAATAGGAATGAAAAGAACATTTAGAAAAACAAAGTATCAAAGAATAGTCAGCATAGATTTTGAAAGGTAATATTGTGTTTGATCCAACTTATTGAGAGAAGACTTATCGGGAGAATGTGCAAACTCCACACAGATAGTTGCCCAAAATTGGAATTGAACCCAGATCCCAAGCACTGTGAGGCAGCAGTGCTAACCAGTGAGCCACTGTGCCACCCATTTTGTGAGAATGCAACTCGTTGGATATGAAGCAAAGGAAGTGGATGCAATGGATTTTCAAAAGACAATTGATAAGTTGCCACTCAAAAGGTTAATACACATGATAAGGACTCGTGGAGTTGGTAGTGATATATTAGTGTAAATCAAGGATTAGTTAAGGGACAGGAAGCAGAGAGTTAGATAACTGAAGCATTTTCTAGTTGACAAGTGGACTGCCATAAGAATTGAGACTGGGGCCTCAGCCATAAGAATTGAGACTGGGTCCTCAGCCATTTACAATCTTTCTTGCTGGCTTGAGACAGGGAGTAATGTGCTAAATTTGCTGGCAATCCAAAGCCAGGTAGGAAGGAGGGCAAAAAGAGGCTGCAAAGAAGCAGTGCAATGTACTTAAAGATGCTACAGGGTCAAGAGAATGGGTATTTTCATGTCTATACTTTATTAAATCTAATAACTAAGGGAGTTATTACTGGAGACCAATGGGCATCGCTCCAATCTGTGGCCATGTTCTGCCTCCAATTGGTACGGTTGGTTTGTAACCAGATGACTCCAATGACTCAGAGGTTGGGAAGTATTCTCTGCCAACTCCTTTGCTGCCAAATCGAAAACAAACCAGCTGCAGCGATTAAGTATTTGAATTGAGGCTTCCCATGTCTATAATGCTTAAGGCAGGCAAAGCGCATGTGTATACCTGTTTCCATAGCTAGTTTCTCTGGAACAGGTCACGAGACACTATATTTTGCTCTGTTGCTGTTTTGGTGAATTATATCTATTGGTAGTGTTTACAGCTGCTGTTCTATCACATTACCAACCCTCTTCACCTGCAGCATGCTCTATTATTATCAAGTCTGGAATCTAACAATCGTCAAAACTGATATAAGATTCTCTCCATAAAGTTTGTGAATTGTGGAAAGAATTCTTGGTGAACACATTTAATGTCGAGTCAAGTAATGCAAAAGGAGGACAAATTAATAATTAGAATCGTAGGTCCTCCCTAATACCCTTCCAGGAGAGAGGTGGAGAGGGGGAAGACATCATTTGGAAACTTGGAAAAGAGAAACAGAGGTTTACCTAACTCAATCCAGATTGGACATTTACTTTAGACTAATTAATGGGAAACTGGGAACAGTAAAAATATAACAAGTGCTTCTACAGCAAGTTACCATATGTATATTTCTGCCAGTACTGTAATTAACTACTTTCTACCTTTAACACCAAAGTCCTATTCATCAGTGCATGGTTTATAGTTTATGAAATTTCAGGCTGGTACAGTCTGAATTTAAAGGATTTTCTTGCAGCAACATTTAGGCACAGTAGTTATCTGCTAAGCATGACGTGATAGAACATAATAGCTTTGCAAATGTCCGGATATTTGTTTAAGTTTTACTTTGTTTCCTATCCGTTGGCGACCTGAATGACAATGACCTCGTGCAGTGAAGGTTCTGGTTAAGGAGGAGATCACGGCTATCGGGAATGTTTGCCGGAGTGGAGGGGATGATTAGATCACAGAGGTGTGTTATTCACAGGTAAGTTGTTTGGACCTGGAGGAAATATGGAGTTGTCCCTTCTCAACTTTTACCTGCTGGGTTTCCAGGGGCTTTCGACACCCAAGGATCATAGAATGGTAGAGCACAGAGAGAGGCCATATGGACCATTGTGCATGGACAGGCCCTCTGAACGAGCGATTTACCTGGTGCTACCTCCCTATCCTTTCTCCCGTAGCCCTGCACAATTTTCCTTTTCAAATAATGATTCGATTCCCTTTCAAAAATCTTGATTGAATCTGCTTCCACCACATTCTCAGAAAGCACATTTGAGATTGCAAGCACTCAATGCATGGGAAAAGAACATCTTTTCCTCATTTTGCCATTGCTTCTATTGCCAATTAGCTTCAATTTGTGATCTCTGAATCTCTCTCCTTCAACTAATGGAATATTTTCTCCCTACCTACTATTTCAAACCTTTCATGATTTTAAATACCTCTACTGAATCTTCTCCCACCCTCCTATTCTCCAATGAAAATGTTCAATGTGTCCAATTTATCTTCCTTTCGCATCCCTGGGACCATCTCCTGATTGTTTTCTGCATCCTCTCCAAAGCCTCCATATCCTCCCTAATGCATGATGCCTAGAATGAGGTACAATCCTCCAACAAAAGCCAATTTGTGTTTTATGTGGGCTGAATATAACTTCTTTGCTTCAGTACTCTATGTCCCTACAGATAAAGCCAAGGATGTCATGTGCCTTATTAACAACTCTTTCAACCTGTCCAGCATCTGTAAATGGTTTATACACATATACTCCAAAGTCTCTCTGCTCCTACACCCCATTTTGAATTGCACCCTTTATTGACTCTTTGTGTTCATCCAACTAAATGAATCACATCACATTTCTTTGAATTAGATAGTATCTGTCACCTGTCATCCGTTTCACCATCTATATCCGTTTGACTTTCCAGTACCTCCGTCTGACCCCTGTCTCCATGGTTAAACCAACTCTTTGGTCTCCCCACCCCCCGCCTCATCCCATGCCCAACCCTCCCTGTCATCCCCGCCTCCTTAACCTGTCCGTCTTCTCTCCCACTTATCTGCTCTTCCCACCTTACTGACCAATCCCCACCACTGCCTACCTGCACTCACCTATCACCATCCCACCTACCTTCCCCATGCCCACCCCTCCTCTCTCAATTCATTTCTGAGCTCCCTTCCCCCTCCCCCATTTCTGAAGAAGGGTCCGAACCCAGAAGGTCAGCTTTCCTGCTCTGTTGATGCTGCCTGGGCCTGCTGTGTTCATTGAGCTCCACACTGTGTTATCTCTGACTCCAGCATCGGCAGATCTTACTATCTCTATGGTCCCTAAGCTGCCCCACTCCTCCTCTTAGCACCCTGTTACTGTAAGTATGTTCCTCTAGAAGACTTTGGGATTCTTTTTCATGTCAGCTGCTAGTCTTTTCTCACACATTTTCTTGGTTTGCCTTATTTGCTTGTACAATTCCCCTCTGAACCTTTTTAACTGAACTTGGCCTTAATTGTGTCATCCACTTGAAATTGATCATAAACAAACTTTTTCTGTTTCATCTTAATTTATATCTCTCTTATCATTTAAGGAACTATTTATATCTTGCCTTTCTCCTTTGTTGGAATACACCTAGACTACCTGATTACATTGTAACTATTTTTTTCTCTTTAAAGGCTGTGTATACCTGCTAATCTTTGATTCTAATTGATCTGGGCCAGGTCCATCAGTGAGGCTGGCACTACCTCATTTTATTGCTTCTCATTCTTTCCATAGCCAACATTTACCTTAGGATACCACAATCACTGTCCCTTAAATGTTCTCCCGCTGACACTTGATCCACTGAGATGACCACATTCCCAAGAACCAGGTCCAACAATGGCTCCTTTCTGTTTGGACTAGAAACATAATGTCGTAGGAAATTCTGAATACTATTTTGGAACTCTCACTCCCTCAATGCCCTTTACACTACATGATTACAGGCTATATGCACAGAATCATAGAATCCCTACAGTATGGAAGCAGGTCATTCAGCCCATCAAGTCCACACCAACCCTCCAAAGATCATCCCATCCAGATCAACCACACCCCACCCCCCACTCCCTCATCCCTGTTACCCTACATTTTCCATGGCTAATCCACCTAGCCTGGACACTATGGGCAATTTAGCATGCCCAATCCACATCTTTGGACCGTGGGAGGAAAGCAGAGCACCCAGAGGAAAATCCGCACAGACAAACGAAGAACTCCACACAGACAGTTGCCTGAGGGAGGAAATGAACCTGGGTCCCTGGTGCTGTGAGGCAGCAGTGTTAACCACTGAGCCACCGTGCTGCCTAGGTATTTAAAGTAAAATTCCCACATTTTAACTAACCTAACAATTTTCTGCAATTTCTTTACATGTTTGTTCCTCCACATCTTTCCCACTATTTTAGTGGCATATAGCCTACACTGAGTGATGTAACTGCATTTTTTTGTTCATAGCTCGAGCTAAATAGATCCTGTCCTTGATCCGTCCAGGACATCCTCTCCCTCCAGCTCTGTAATGTTTCACTTATTGGTTACATGTATCTGGATTGTGCAGTTCTAGTCCCCTGGTCTAAGGAAGAAAACTCTTTTCACAGTGAAGGTTCCTATGAGGAGAGATTGAACAGACTGGGCCTCTGTTGCTGGAGTTAAGAAGAATAAGAGGGCAATCTCATTGAAACTTACAAAAATTTTAACCAAATAGGCAAGGCAGATTCAGAAAGGGTGCTTCTGCTGTCTGTGTTCTAGAACCAAGGGACAAAGTCTCAGAACAAGGCGCAAACTATTTAGGACAATTTAGAAGATAAGAAGGAAATATTCACTCAGAAGGTTGTGAATCTTTGGAATTCTGTTCCTGGACGCTGCGCAATTCAGTCAATGAGGATGTCCTATATACTAATGAGATCAAAGAATATGGGGGATAGTGCAGGAAAATGGTATGGAGGTAGATAATCTAGAAGGTGGCTTAAGTGGCTTAATGGTCTATCTTTGCTCTTACGTTCCCACCCTGTCCTGACTTTCGTTGTACCTGGTCTGTTATCGCTGGCTTCTCTCTGATCCCATTTACTTTGTGCTGATTCCGGGATCCTGACCAACTTCATACTCCTCCCAGTTCGGTAAAAGTCAAAAGGATGCAGAAGTGGAGGTACAGATCCTTGCTAGAGCTTCAAGTTAAAGCCTCCTTTAAGCCAGCCATCTCTGCTATCTACCCTTTGCCTTCATGAATAGCCCAGCTGCGCATGGATGTTGCATGTTGACTCTAGTTCACTAACAGTTGAGGGAGTGGACTAAGTGAGACATACCGTGAGCCTCCCTGCCCCTACTCTGCCCTGATCATCACACTCTTTGCCCACTCTGTCATTGTAGGGCCCACGTCTACATCCTGCCCAAGTGTGCCATCTCCAGCATCCCACTTTCTTTTCCATCCCGTTCCTAGGTATCTCTCACCCTGGCACCTCAATGCAGTGTGGCACGTCTCCAGTGTTCTGTCCCCCTTAACGACCTACACTTCAATAACCCAGTCATGGGACATGGTCACAAATAGAACTCCTTTGATTTGTAATTAATGCCATGAAATCTGAAGCAGAAACTTGAACAGACCTGTGCATCTTCAAAGGTGTACCTTCCTGGGTCCTTGACATTCTGATTGGTTATCTCATACGAGTGGGAGTCCAGGTTGATGGCGCTCGGTGCACCTGGAGCAAGAAATTCCTGCCACGTTTCTTGAACCTTGCCCGGGACTTCCACAAGTGGTCGTTTCTTCAGGTCCTCTGCCGCTACCCAAAACCTGCAGAGGGAAGGGAAGGACTTAGGTTCTAACTGAGCTATGAAATAATAGTTTAAAACAATCCATAAACCCAATTTTTAAATAGCTGACAGGCAATACCGTTACTTAAACGCAATAATTTGTGCCAAGATTCAAATCATCGATTAAACATTAGTTAATCATTGGCTTTGCTATTTTGATACAGGATTTAGGTCTGTGAACAGTTAATGCAGAGCTGGCAATATTCTAACATAAAGAGATAATATTAATAAATACTGCAGAGGGACTATTAAAAGAAGTTTACAAAATATTTAACCATGAAACCTGTAAGAACCAAAAGCAGAGTGTTTGCATCCCCACATTACTAGGATTTACATGAATACACCACAATCCTTCATAATCTGAGGATCAACCCTCTCTCGCTTTCTCTCATCCAAATATCACCTACAACGTAAAGACTGTTCTTTCGCAGCAGGAAGCTTATTTGTCACCAAACTTGTATCACTGGGAAGAACAAAATAGAAAGGTTTGCAAGCGGAGTCTGCATCAACAAGGTGGTCTTATTGCTTTGGCGGAGGCAAGTCTGGGTTCTGGATTGCATCTGCGTCCTGCACAGATTCATGCAGGTGGCAGCCGAGGTTAGATTGGGCCCAGTACGAGACCCAGCGGCATTGGCAACGCCGGCATCGGTAAGGTGGGCCTGAAGCAGGTGGCGGTGGAGTCAAGTTTGGTCTGGAGCGGTACCCAGTGGCATCTGCATTGATGAGGTGCAGCAAGGACTCTCAGTGGCGAGGGTGTCGACGGAGGTGTTGTCAAAGATTGGCAACTTTCATTGCAGTGAGAGTGCAGTGATGGGGTCCCAATGCTAGGCCACCAGGCCCATGGCGGAGCACTTAACAAGAAGGATTGTAAAGTTGAACACTTTTTCTTTATCTCTTTATTTTTCTGCTTTTATGTTCTATGTTTGGGTTTTTTTGTGTTTTTAGATGGTGCCGAAGAATGGCGACACTACACAACGCTTTTCAGTGTATTTTGTAACAAAATACATGCGACATAAAACAAATAAATAAGTCAAATGCTGAGCTTCCATATTCTCCCTCCCTCTGTCTAGTTTATCTAATTTATCAGTACTACAATGCTCGTTTCAACTCCAAATATTTTGTTCATTTTAGCTCCAACTTCACATCTTTCTCACTTGTTTTACATGTCTTTCTTCCTTCTCTCTATCCTTATACACTCTTCCTCCTGCCATCGCTTCCCTAGCATGACTGTCCTTGTCCCTATTATTGTCACCTGCTCTTCCTCACTGTTCTCACGGGTGGGAGGAAAAGAGGCGATTTCAGCTTTGAAAGCACCCACTGAAGTTACCTTTCACTTCAATACCAGGAGTGCAACTAAAAATGTGAATGAAAATGATTTTGTGGTATTCCGAATTTTACATGCAGGAACATTAAATTCAAGAGCAAAAATAAAGTAACATTGCATTTACACAAGATATTGATTAAAACATAGCTACAGTAGCCAAGACAATTCTCAATGCCCCATTATTAGATAAATATTAAAACCTTTGATAGGACACCCAGGGAGCAGGTTGGCTGCAATGATACTGAGACTGCCAGGTTACAGTTATGAAGATAGGTTTGAAAAACTGAACAGCTGGAAATGAAACAGAGAAGGATATATGCAGTTCCTAAATAGGGGGCCACAAAACTCTGAAACATTTCAAGAAAAGCTAAAGGTTGTCTGACAGGTTGGTCACAAAAACAGCATCTCTATTTGTGCCACGTGTTGATCTATTTTACTGCAAATACTTCAAACATTCAAATAATGAGCTTCTCCTTTTATTTCTCACACTTACATATTTCATGGATCTCATTTGCTGATGCATTATCATTAAACTCTCTATCCCACCATGTTTGTCCTTACCGTAATCATTACACTGCTGTACTGTCCCAGATTGTTTCTTCAGATTTTGAAATCTCCCTTCACCTCAACAGTCCCCTCAACTTTCAATTTAAAACCCTATTTGTAGCCCTAGTTGTACAGATTTGACAGCATTTATTTGTTTTATTAGTCGACTCGTTATTGAATCAGCAAAGTAATAGCACATTGCCTGTAAACAATAAAGTAGCCAACAGGGAAGTAAAACAAAACAAAATAAAAGGCAACATCTACTTCCCTACTGGACTAAATTCCTACCTGCACCAAATTGTCAACTTAGCATTTTCTCATACTGGTGGTAGCAACAGTTTCTATTTACGTAGTGAGCTTATGACTTACCCCCAAGTTTTAATCACTAAATCAACTTCCTGCTGTATGGATCTATCACAGTTTGTAGAATGGCCTTTACTCCTTGGAGATTTTCGACTCTCTAAATGTCAATTTAACTGAATTATGGAATGCTTGGTGCACAGAAAAATCAGGAAAAAATAATTACAAAGCACAACAGCTTTGGCACAAAGAATACAGGTCAAGGAAATGTTTTACAAACGTGATTTTTAGGAATAGTACATGTGACTCAATGCAACTAATATGGGTGAGAGTTTTTGAATCCTTTTGTGTGACCATCTAGTTATGACCAGGTGAGGATTCAGTTCCCCTCTTTACAACCTCCGTTTTAGGCTGCAACAGAGGTTCAAGCTCTTCTTAGTATGAGGCATTGACTCTCTCCAACATCTTTCAAAGAAGACATTAAACTGCAGCTCTATCTGACTGCTCAGGTGAATGTGAAAGATTACAGGCCCTGGTTCAAAGAAAACCAGGGGTGTTCTGTCTACTCTCATAGCCAATATTAATCCTGTAATCATTGTGACAAAACATATTATCTGCTCAATACATATGCAGGAGGTTGGTGTGGGCAGTTGCTCCTAAATTATTGGCAGTTGCTCCTAAATTATAACAAAGCTGCACTTCAAAAATAATTTATTATCTATTAAATACATTTGAGATATCTGGTGACGGCAAGAAGCACCAAATAAATGCCAGTCTATGTTTTGCTCTTGACTAATTGGACATAAAAAGTAGTCGTTTTATTTTGGTTAAACTCATGTCCAGAATTGTCGAAACCGGATAGCTTCTATTTACCCACCATTACAGTCTCTGTCTTAAGGGACACTCATTATTTGTATGAGTTCAGAACGATTTGGCACATGTGGTTAAAAACCAAAGTATAGAGATGTATGCAGGGAAATTAACCAACTAAAACAACACAGATCACTGGTACAGAGTGCAGAGCAGACAGACCAGCTCACTCTGTTACTCACCATGGGCATTGCTACCAGTATTCCTCTTTAGTTGTAAGAAACCACACAGTCTGCTTGGTCAAGTGTAGGAGAAGAAAATCACTTTTAGTCTAACTAGAAGTGTCTCTTGTGGTTAACAAAACGTAGTTTATCACGTGTTACTATCTGGTTATAGTTTGCGTTCACATGATACAGATTGTTACAGACAGAAATCAATGTTAGGTCTCATTCTTTCAAGATCCTCAGATATTCTGCCCACATGACAGTTGTAGTGGGTGGTGCCTATGGCACACCTCAGTGTTAACCCTTTTAGATCCAATATACACACAAAGAGCACTGGTGAGCTCTGTACTCTATGCCAAGTTATAGAGAATCTATCAACTGGTGTAGAGGTTTGTAGGGCTCCTTGAATCTGAATGGAAAGAAACTCAGTCCTTAATGCCAAATCTACTACACCAGCATTCACTGATGACCATGTATGGATGTCAATCATTATCAGTGCCTTGGAATACCACTTCCATGGAAAACATGCCTTGCACATCTCCTTGAAACTTGTCCCCTCTCACCTTCAACCTAGTATTTGGCATTTTCCCTGGGAAGAAGACTCTGACTGTCCACCCTATCCACGCCTTTCATAATTTTACATACTTCTATCAGGTCGCCCCTCAGTCTTTGACATTCTAGCAAAAACAATCCAAGTTTGTCCAACCTCTTCTTAGAGCTAAAACACTGCAACATCCTGGTAAACCTCTTCTGCACCTTCTCCAAAGCTGCTATATATCTTGTAGAGTGTGTACACAGTACTCTAAATGTGACCTGACTAAAGTTTTAAACAGCTACTTGCCAACTTTTAGACTTAGTCCCCTGACCAATGAGTTTAAGCGTGTCATATACTTTCTTTATCATCTAATCCACTTTCAATGGCACTTTCAGGGTGCTATGGACTGCCCACCAACTCCAAGATCCCTCTGCATATCAATGCTCCGAAGGGTCCTGCTATTTACAGTATACTTTCCTCTTACGTTTGACTTCCCAAAATGCAACACCTCACACTTGTCTGGATTAAACTTCATCTGCCATTTCTCCGCCCAACTTTTCAACTGATCTATGTCCTGCTCTATACTTTGACAATTTTCCTCACTACCCACAACTCCACACCTACAAATTCAGAAGATAACACCACTACCTCCACATTCTCCTCCAAATCACACAGCATTCTGCATTGCTTCTGGATTAAACTCCTGGAACTCTCTACATTTCAGGTGTGTGGCAGTACCAACACCATATCAACTGGAGTGGTTCAAGAAGAAGTTCCAGCACCATCGTCTTCAGGAAAACCAGAGATATGCAATAAATGCTCAACTTGTTAATGATACCCATATCTGGAGAAGTGAACAGTCTGAGACATTCTATATTTCTACCTATATCCACCCCTGCAAATGTTAAATGGCGACTGTTGAGATAAAGACACATAATTTCTGATAATTGTCCCTAGTCAAATTCATCTCATTCTCTTCAATAGGCTGCAACACAGTTTGGTAAAATACTGCTCAACACTGAAGTGTTGTTGAAAAGGATTCTTCTGAATGTGAACACTGATGTGCCAGAAACAAATATCTTTTCAGGTCTTAATAACTTGCACAATAATCCATAAATTTCAATGTGTTTTGAATTCTCTTTTACTCTCTTTACAATAAAAAATTGCAGCAGCAGGACAAAAATTTTAAAATTCAGTACAATAACCCTGAAAAAATGCTGACTTTTTTCTGGAAAAATTATTACAGTTTCCTACTGCAAGTTACTTTGGACTAAATACATGCAAATGTTTCTGCAGAGGACAGAACCAGTAATAAACAAATTTTGTAAGTTATATTAGTCTATTAACAATCACCACTTGACATTCAACCAGTCAGATAACGTTTGCAGTGATACGCTGAAGACGGATAGACAGCAAAAGGAGTTTGTTGGTAACGAACTAAACTAACAGATATTGACTTGGATTCTACGATTAGTGGCAAAGTGATAGTGCCCACCATTGACCTCAAAGACGGTTGCACATAGAACTCCAGCAATCTCTGTGCAGCTGACTGCACCTTCTGCTGAAGTGATTTTGACTCTGACACCAAGTCAAAAAGATCTCCAGGCATCCAGCAACGCAGAGTAAGCAGCAAAATCCCAGTGACAAATTCACACAGGTAGCAAACGTGGAAACAAAACAAACATGTTATCCCTCCATTTTAACCAATTTCATATGGAATTAATAATAATTAGAAGCTCAAATATTTCAGATATTAGCATGATAAAGGACATTCTTGTGAATTTGGTGATTTCTAAAGAATATGGGAACTCTTACAACACACCCTGTGGAGGATTAGGGAAACTCTGACAGTACTGTTTAAATTCCCATATGTGAGAAGCCAATTGGTGCTAGTTTTGCAGGGCCATGATGGCAATCACTGACAGGTTCACCATCAATACAACTGTAAAATCCTGCCCATAATGTTGTTGTCTATATAGCCCTCGCAATGACCTTAGATTACATGCACTTACATTATTCTGGCGTCCAGTTCCACAGGCACAAAGGCCTTTTGTACAAAGTCCATCTTTCATTCTAGAGCCTTCACAATGAGTGTAAAACAGGGCTACTCAGCTGTGAAAGAGCAAACTGGAATTTGATCTTGTTTTTACCAGATGACTGCGCCTCAGCCTTTTTTTTAGGAGGCATGGCAATTCTGTCACTAAAGCCCACTATGAAATCAGTTAGCTGAGTTGGTACTGGAAATAAACTTGGGATTCTCAGTCTTCATGTCTTAATGCAGCACCAGGATATTAGATAGTTTGTCATTAAACTTTTTTTTTAAAAAATCACTTGCGGGACGTGGACATTGCTGGCTATACAGCATTTTTGTTGTTCATTCCCTGTTGCCCTTGAGAAGGTGGTGGTGAACTGCCTCCTTGAACCGCTGCAGTCCACATGCTATAGGTTAACACACAGTGCCCTTAGGGAGGGAATTCCAGGATGTTGACCCAGTGACAATGAAGGAACAACGATATATTTCCAAGTCAGGATGGCAAGTGGCTTGGAAGGGAACTTGCAGGTCGTGGTGTTCCCATGTGTCTGCTGCCCTTGTCCTTCTAGATGGAAGAGGTCATGGGTTCGGAAGGTGCTATCTGAGGAGTTGTGGTGAATTTCTGCAGTGCATCCTGTAGATAGTTTTAAAAGCGGATGCTGTAAATCAGGAACAAAAACAAAGTTGCTGGAAAAGCTCAGCAGGTCTGGCAGCATCTGTGAAGGAGAAAACAGAGTTAACGTTTCAGGTCTGGTGA